AAAAAACGAATGTGTCCCGCATGGTATTATTTGACAGGGATGATGGCCCTGGCAGGTGCGCAACCGGTGTCGCAGAAGTTCGAAAAAGTTGCTCGCAAAAGCCCGTTTGACAGAAATGTTTAAAAAGTGTTGGGTTTCCTACGAATCCGCAAGATCGCGCGGGATGAGATTTTGACAATTTTTTGTTGAAAAACCATTGGTTTTTTGATGTTTTTATGTTAAAATCGCTGCGAACACTAAGGTTTTGGAAGGATTTCGTCTTGCGCGCTCGAATGTCCACTTTACCTTATTTTTTGCAAGGGATTCTTGAAATTTGATTATATTAGAACAAGAAATGTCATTTTCTATTGTTTTTTGCAAGGGAAAGCGGATTACAACAAAACAACCGGATCCTGGACACACCCTCTTTTCTGAGGCTTCCTCACGAAAATGATGAAAATGTAGCTGCGGCCTAGGCGGCGCAGGGGGGGCGCGCACCAGGGGGCCCAACAATAATTATTCTTTAGAATAAATAATGTTCAACGACGACGACGACGACGACAACAACAACAACAACAGCAACAACAACAACAACCACAACAACAACAGCAGCAGCAGCAGCAACAGCAACAACAACAACAACAGCAGCAGCAGCAGCAACAGCAGCAACAACAACAACGGCAACAACAACGGCAACAACAACCACAACAACAGCAGCAGCTGCAACAACAAAATCAACAACAAAAACAAGAACAACAAGACCACAAAAACAAAAACAACAAAAAACAACAAAAAAACAACAACAACAACAACTACGACAACAATAACAACAACAACAACAACAACAACAACAACAACAACAACAACAACAACAACAGCAACAGCAACAGCAACAGCAACATCAACAACAACAGCAACAGCAATTGTAACAGTAACAACAACAGCAACAACAACACCAATCGTCCCCATATTTGAATATTTCTTCTGTAGAGGGGCAAGCCCGACTTAAGAGTAGGGGAGCCAAGGGAAAGAGAACGGGGGCCATGACCGAGGTTGAACGCGGAAACGTCGTGCGATCTCGGTCGCCGTCCATCTTGGCCAGCCTCGATTCGTGGACCATCTTCGACGGAGACAACGGACACGGACCATGACCAAGATCGGCAACGACAAGATCCCGCGACAGCTTGGTCATGGACCCCGTGCTTCTTCCTTCCAGGGAGGGAGCATAGATTAAAATGTGCCACTGTGAAATCGCCGTCCGCCTAGAGCGGCGGCTCCCGAAGGAACAAAAAGCAGGGAACCACCAACGGCACCCTGAGCGCCCGTCCGAGGCAAACGGAACCCCCGTAGAGGCGGTCACGGTGCGGCATCTGGAGAGCGACAGCGCGGAGGACAGGGCCACCAAGCACCAAACTGCTGGCAGGCAGAAGGTCCCTCGCGGTGGGGCCCCCGCGGCGCGGAGCAGGACCCGACAGAGGCACGTCTGGCCGCCAGACGTGCTCCAAGAGCCCGCGCCTGCTCCCGCGCCAGACTGTCGCGGGAGCGGGTGCGGGCTCTCTGGACGAGGAGGTGACGAGGAGCAGCAGCCGATCGAGCAGAGCCGAGAAGCAGAATCGCAGAGCGAGCGAGGACGAAGGTCAGCTGAGCAGACGATCCCACAGCCGCGGCAGTGGGCTCGCGGGTCACGAGGCGGGTCGGCAGGGTGTACTCGACAGCTCAGCTCCAGAGGCAGGCGCAGCAGCGCTGGGACGCTCCAGCGTCGAAGCAGCTGCACAAGCCGGGGGAGGGCGAGAGCGACGGTGGAGGAAGGTCAGGGGAACAGCTGGGGGAGCAAGCGCTCTCCGCGCCACGTGCCGGGAGCAGGGACCCCGACGCTCCGCAGAGCTGCGGCGAGGCCAAGAGGCCGACACGGCGCTCCGCACCGCGTGGCTCCAGCTCGTCAGTCCCAGACCGCCTCCGCGAGCCTGCCAGTCTGGGAGTCGACGAGGACGCCCGGGACGGACGTGTCGTCGGCGTCGTCGGCGAATGGGTCCTCCTTGGGGCCCGCGTCGGCGCACACGCACATCATCTCCTGAGGCAAGCCCGAAGGGGGGTCTGGTTTGGGGGGGGGGTGGGGGAATGGTAATGGGAGGGGGGGGGAGGGGACACGTCGGCATAGAATCCCTCGGCCGGCGAAGCCGCAGGTCCTGCGGCAGAAAAAAGCCACCATGGGCGCCCCAGGTGCCGATCGACGAGGCTAAGCGGCATCAGGGGGCCGATGCTGCAATCCCCAGGCGTGAGACCACACCCGGAGAGAGGAGGGAAAGGAAGAAGGAGGAAGGAGGAGGATTGAGGAGAGGAGGAAGAGGAGGAGGAGGAGGGAGGAGGAGGAGGGGGAAGGAGGAAGGGAGAGGAGGGAAAGAGGAGTGGAGGAGGAGAGGAGGAGGGGAAGGAGGAGGAGCAGGAGGAGGAGGACGGAGGGAGGGAAAGGAGGAGGGAGGGAGGAAGCGGAGGAGGGAGGAAGGAGGAGGAGAGGGAGGAGGAGGAGGGGGAGGACGAGGAGGGGGAGGAGAGAAGTCTTCGCGCCCGTGCTGTCCCTCGCTCGGCCGAGCAGGCTCTGGTCGAGGCTGGCGGCCGCTTCGTTGTCGTTCATGCGGCCGCCGGGGGCCTGGGCATGCCCGCGCCGCGCCTTGACCTTCTCCCAGCGGACCTTCCAGGCCTTCTTGGAGCGCGGGCCCCGCTCGCGGTCGAGCCCGTCCCTGTGCCGCTGGCACTCGGACGTGACGTCCTCCAGGGACTCGGGGTGCGGGTCGAAGCCGAGGAGGCCGCCGATGTCCATGCGGGCGAGCGAGCTCAAGTGCCGCACGGCCAGGTTCAGGTGCTCCTGCATGGGCAGGTCCTGGCGCATGACGATCTGCGTTGCCGCGACCTTGTGGTGCCCGAGGGTGCGGTTCTGCAGCCCGATCTCCACCTGCCCCGCCACGCTCGGCGCGGTGCCGCCCGCGCGCTTGTTGCTGTACCACCTCGTCGTGGACAGCGTGACCCGCATGGAGTGCCCCGCTCCCTCCGAGAGGACCACGGGATCGTCCCTCTCGTCCAGCTTCTCCCACGGGGCCTCGCTTTTTCTTTGGGGGGGGAGCAGGAGATGTGGGAGCGGACAGTGATAGTCCACAGGGATCGCCTCGCAGAGCGTGCACACAACGATGCTGCACGCCGCGAGGCTGCTGCGCGAACGTGGCCAAAGTTCCGGAGAGGGATACGGGCACGAGGGATTCAGGCCTCGCCACGACTACCTTGCAGCTTGCTGTACGCGCTGGCTGGAGCGGACAGATCCTGCCCCCCGCGGACAGTCCTTCTCCCACGGGACCTCCAATGGGACAGACAGACAGACAGACAGGCACGCGGGGCACGTCCGAGGATGGCCCACTAGTGGGCAGGCCCAAGTGCCGAGACCCGGGATCGAGCCGGGAACAGAAGCAGCATGAGCACACGGATGTCCTGAATCGGCGCCGAGCCCCCCCTCCTCGGCGCGCGGAGCGCGCCGGTGAGGGGCAACGCTCGTGGAAGACAGGCTCGGGGGGGGGGCATCGTCCTGGAATCGGCGATGCATCGCCGACAGATCGGCGACAGGCCCCCGATAGCGAGTCCTGGGCCGAGGTATCGGCGGCGGACAAGCCTCCCTTGAGTAAACTTCCATGTAGTGAGAACGGCCTAGGACCGAAACCGACGGACCTGGACCCGCGAAAATGACGGCCGCGACGCCCTCTCGCGAACCGAAAACGGCCAATTCCCTAATCGACGTGTCAGGGTAGTAGGTCTCTCAACCTCCGAAGGTAGGCTGTCGGCGATCAATGGGCCATTGGGGTCCGGTGCGCCCCCGCCTGAGCCGCGATCCCCCCCTCAACATCGCGTTGCACCCTGAGCCTGGCCGCGGCGGGTGCCTCAGCGCCGATATCCGAGGAGTCCGCGCGGGCCTCCGCCGAAGGGTTACGGTCGAGCTCGGTCGGAGAGGACACCTGGGAGGACACGAGACCCTTCCGAGGGCCACGCTGCAACAGTAGTGCAGAAGGCATGGGTCGCGAAGCACGGGGCACGAGGGCCCCTTCGACCTGGCCAGGTCGACCCGCGAGGCAGGCCCGACGGTGCGTTCCTGCTTGCTTTCTTTTTGGGGGGGGGTCCTCGAGCCTCTGACGGCGCGCCAGGAGGCTTGAGCACCCGGAGGCCCAGAAACTTGTCGGTCTCGTTCTCGGCGCGCGACCTCTGGTGACCCGCAGAGCGTGTGGCAGCGCCAACGTGTGCCTGCACGGTTTCCCCCGGGGCCGTAGGCGACCCGAGGAGGAGGAGGAGGAGGAGGAGGTGGAGGAGGGGAGGGGGAGGAGGAGATGAAGGAGCTAGGAGGAGGAGGGAGGAGGAGGAGCAGAATGAGGAGGAGAGGAGGAGGGGCGGAGGAAGGAGGAGGAGGAGGGGGAAGAGGATGGGAGGAGGGGAGAGAGGAGGATGGAGAGGAGGAGGAGGAGGGAGAGGGGAAGAGGAAGGAGGATGAGGAGGAGGAGGAGGATGGAGGTAGGAGGAGAGGAGGGAGGGAGGAGGAGGAGTTGTGGGGGTGGGGGGGCGGGGGTGTGGGATGGGGGGGGGGGAGGGGGGGGAAGAAAGGAGGAGGAGGAGGAGGAGGAGGGAGGAGGAGGAGGAGGCGGAGGAGGAGGACGAGGACGGGTCGCCTAAGCCCTTCGGAGAAGCCCTCCACGCGTGCCTGTCCACCGAAGCCCTTCAGCACGACGCGGGCGGTGTAAAAAGGGCAGACACGAGCTGTGCGCTACACACACTGGGCTACGGAGGAAGGATCAAGCTTTGCAACTGCAACGCCCGAGCTAGAAAGATCAAAATTCCCCGCTTCCCCATTCTTAACAGTAGCAAGTCTTGCGTTCGAGATGTCAGGTTCAAGATTTTCTGGCTCCGCCTCTCTGGGACAGCTTGTTCAATATTGAGGCCGGGGGGCAGAGGGGGGTCATGCGAAGTGCTTCGCGGTGTCACAAGAGCCGACACGAGCTACGTGCTATCAGCGGAGACAGACAGAGCAAACACACATTGGGCCCACACACGGTCTGAGGATCATCGAGACCTGAGGTAGGAGCGGACCTGCACGACCTGGCCGTCGAGCCAGAGGCCGGACAGCTCGAGCTCGGTGATGTACGTGGTGCACGGCTTCCCGAACTCGAGGAGTATGGAGGCCTTGAGCTCGAGCAGCGTGGGCCTCTCCGTGGCGGCAGCCCACGTCGACGACGGCCCACGCCGACGCCGACGCCGGCGCCAACGCCGGCAACCAGGCCGAGGCCGACGCCCACGCCCACGCCGACGCCGCCGACTACGACGCCGATGCCGACGCCGACGCCGATGCCGACGCCCACGCCGACGCCGCCGCCGCCGCCGCCGACGACGACGACCACGACGACGACAACGATAACGACGACGACGACGACGACGACGACGACGACGACGACGACGACGATAACGACGATAACGACGACGACGACGACGACGACGACGACGACGACGACGACGACGACGACGACGGACCACCGCTCGCCCGCTGGCTCAAACGGGCGCCCCCCGACCCCCCGCGCTCACGCCCCCCGCGGGGCTGAGGAATCCAGGGTCTGCAAGCTGGTGGAGCTTCCGTCGCGGAGTGGCCGTGGATACATATTACCACCGCCCTCATTAGATAAGGAATCCCCAAGCGTCTGAAGCCTCCTGGGCGCCCCCCGACCCGCCCCCCGCTCCCGCCCCCCGCGGCGCGCAGGCGGGCGGGGGCGCGGGGCGGCCGCAGCGTGCGTGCACGCACGCGCGCGCGCACGCAACACACGTATCTACAATGTAGATAGATATAAAGATATATAGATAGATGCGTATATATATATAGAGAGAGAGATTCACTTTTGTGTAGCTGCATACATTTATACCTATATGCACACACATTCATTCATTCATTCATTCATTCATTCATACATACATACATACATACATGCATACGTACATACATACATACATACATACAAACATGCATGCATACATACATACATACATACATACACTAATACATACATACATATATATACAGACAGACAGACAGACAGGCAGACAGACAGACAGACAGACAGGCAGACAGACAGACAGACAGACATAGATACATACACACATACATGCATGCATGCATGCATGCATCCATACATACATGCATACATACATACACACGTACATACGTACATACATACATGCATACATGCATACATGCATACATACATGCATGCATACATAGATACACACATAGATACATACATACATGCATGCATGCATGCATACACACATACATGCATGCAAAGATGCATGCATACATACATACATACATACATACATGAATACATGCATACCTGCATACATGCATACATGCATACATGCATACGTGCGTCAATGCATACATGCATACATGCGTACATACATCAACGTATGCACGTATACGTACATACGAACATGGATGGTTACCGACATGTACGCCCATACATACCTACATGCATACACACATCAAAAATGCATGCAGGCATGCATCCATGCCTGACGATATACGTGCATGTGTGCATGCATTTACACATATATTCATACATACACACATGCATGCAAGCGTATATACATCCGTGCACACATGTACAGATGTATGCATACATGCATACATGCATGAACACACATGCATACATAAATGAATAAATGTATGGGCATGGATGTACCCATCGATGCATAAAAATATGCATACATCAAAGCTGCATACAGGCAAATACATAAACACACCTACATATATACATACATGTATAGAAACATGCATGCACACATACCAAAGATAGAACTCGTACTGCATACATACACACATGCATATACATATACATGTATATATATGTATATATCCAGAAATACACAAGTACCTGTCTATATACATGGCTGTCTACCTGTCTATATACATACATGCATCCATGCATACATGCATACATACATTCATACATGCTTACGTACATACATACATACATACATACATACATACATGCATACATACATACATACATACACACGCATACAAACATACATACATACATACATACATACATGCATACATGCATGCATGCATGCATGCATGCATGCATACATGCATACGTGCATATATGCATACATGGATACATACATACATACATACATACATACATACATACATACATACATACATACACACACACACACGTGTACATGTATGTGTGTGTGTGTCGCGGCCTCGCGCGTGGCGACGAGGTGGAGAAGGCCGAAAGCAGCTCGGTGCACGCAAAGGACCGCAGGAGCACTCAGCGACCACTTGGGGTCACGCAGCAGCCGGCCGCAATGACCATCCAGGCATGGATGGCAGGGGGGACGGTGGCAGACAAGCTACGGTGCGTGTAGAGCGACATAAGTTTGGTGTCTGTTCCATGGGAGCCTGCGTGGCCCCCAGCACTGTCCAATTTGGGCCTGATTTGGACCGGATGTGGAACAAATTTGGACCGGATTCGGACCAGACTCGGACTGGACTCGTGGGGGCCAGGAGAACGAGGAGTGCGGTGGGGGAACAGGAGGGGAGAGGAGGAGCAGGAGGATGGGCCAGATGCAGTCCCCACGCTGTCCACAGGCAGGTAAAGCTGATCTCAACGTCGCCGCCCAAGGCTCCCATGAACAGACATCGAGCATAAGCTGACTGGGCCTGGCTGGCGGGGGAAGCGAGGAAGCGGGGCAGACGACGGGGAGGTCCAGGAGAGGGAGGAGGAGGAGGAGGAGGAGGAGAAAGGAGGAGGAGGAAGTCTCGGGCGGGAGCGCTGGTTTTGTCGGGGCGGGGGCTGTCGGCGGCGAGCAAGAGCACCGCCTTGAGTGAAAAAGGGAGGAAGTCTCCAGCGGGAGCGTTATTGTTGCTGCGGGGCGGCGCCGATGAGAGAAGAAGAAAGCGCGCCGATCAAGGTAAAACGGGAGGAAGTCTCGAGCGGGAGCGCTGGTTTTGTTGAGAAGGCTGCTTTCGGCGCCGAGCAAGAGCACTGGCCCTGAATAAAAAACGAGGATGTCTCGAACGGGAGCGTTGTTGTTGTTGGCGGGCCGGTTGTGGCGGTCCCCCAAACCGCTTGAGAGCGAGCCTCATTTTCAATGCAAATGCAGCCGGCGCCTCGGCGAGAGCGCCAGGGCGCCTTTGCGGGGTCCAACAGTAACAATTGTTAAGTAACTAACATTCAGTAGCAACAACAACCACCACCACCACCACCACCACCACCACAACAACAACAACAACAACAACAACAACAACGACAACAACGACAACAACAACAACAAATACTACAGCAACAACAACAACAACAGCTACAACAACAACTACAACAACAACAACGACGACAACAACAACAACAACAACACCACCAACAACAACAACAACAGCAAATACAACAACAACAACGACTACAACAACAACAAATACAACAACAACAACAACAACAACAGCTACAACAACAACCACAACAACAACAACAATAACAACATAAGAACAACAACAACAACAGCAGCAACAACAACAACAACAACGACGACGACGACGACGACGACGACGACGACGACGACGACAACAACAACAACAACAAATACAACAACAACAACAACAACGACGGCAACAACGGCAACAACAACTCTGGGGTGTGGGCAACAATCCAACAACGCCGACAAGAACGACGACGACGACGACACAACAACAACAACAACAACAACAACTACAAAACAACAACGACGGCACAAGCGGCAACAACCAACAACTACAACCGCAACAACACAACAAATCCTAACAGCAACAACACACAACAGCTACAACACGACTACAACAACACCGGCGACACAACGACAACGACAACACCACCACCACAACAACAACAAGCAAATACAACAACCAACAACAACTACAACAACAACAAATACCACCACAAACAGCTACAACAACACCAAACAACAACACAACACAGTAACAACATAAGAACACAACAACAACAGCAGCAACAACAACAACAACATCAACTACAACACAACAACAACAACAAAGACGACACTGACGACGACGACGACAACAACAACAACAACAACAACAACAACGACGGCAACAACGGCAACAACAACAACAACAACAACGACAACAACAACAACTACAACAACAACAACAACGACGGCAACAACGGCAACAACAACAACAACAACGACAACAACAACAACAACTACAACAACAACAACAACGACGACGACGACGACGACGACGACGACAACAACAACAACAACAACAACGACGACGGCAACAACGGCAACAACAACAACAACAACAACTACAACAACAACAACAACAAATACTACAGCAACAACAACAACAGCTACAACAACAACTACAACAACAACGACGACAACAGCAACAACAACAACAACACCACCACCAACAACAACAACAACAGCAAATACAACAACAACAACAACTACAACAACAACAACAAATACAACAACAACAGCTACAACAACAACCACAACAACAACAACAATAACAACATAAGAACAACAACAACAACAGCAGCAGCAACAACAACAACAACAACTACAACAACAACAACAACAACGACGACGACGACGACGACGACGACGACGACAACAACAACAACAACGACGGCAACAACGGCAACAACAACAACAACGACAACAACAACAACAACAACTACAACAACAACAACGACAGCAACAACGGCAACAACAACAACAACAACGACAACAACAACAACAACAACTACAACTACAACAACAACAACAACGACGACGACGACGACGACGACAACAACAACAACAACAACAACGACGGCAACAACGGCAACAACAACAACAACTACAACAACAACAACAACAAATACTACAGTAACAACAACAACAACAGCTACAACAACAACTACAACAACAACGACGGCAACAACGGCAACAACACCACCACACACAACAACAACAGCAAATACAACAACAACAACAAAATACAACAACAGCAACAACAAATACAACAACAACAACAGCTAAAACAACAACCACAACAACAACAATAACAACATAAGAACAACAACAACAACAACAACAGCAGCAACAACAACAACAACAACTACAACAACAACAACAACAACGACGACGACGACGACGACA